GAACAACCTGCGCAGCAACCTGCTCTTCACCGGCACGCGCGACGAGGAAGAGTTCTACCTCACCTCCGCCCGCATGGAGCTCCGCGGCGTCGAGGCCCTCGAGCTCATGCGCGACACGCTTGACGAAATCTTCGTCGGCGACGAGCTCGCCCACAAGCGCATCGCCGCATATATGCGCCGCCTCGCGCTCGTCATCAAGGAGCTCGAGACCACGCTCCTCTCCGTGCGCGACGGGTGCGCGCCCGCCGTCTTCTTTCACGAAGCCCGCCCCTGGATGCGCGGCGCGGACTCCGGCGCGGGCAAGCGCCCATGGGTTTTCGACGGCCTGGACTCCGCCCCCGACCTCGAGCCACCCACCGAGCTCTCCGGCCCCAGCGCCGGGCAAAGCGCTTTGATCCACGCCCTCGACGTCTTCCTCGGGCTCGCCCGCGAAACGCACGACGCCTCCCTCGCTGGCTCCGCCGCCGCCGCCGCCGACGGCCGCGCGGCCTTCCTCCGGCGCATGCAGCAGTACATGCCGCGGCACCACCGCCGCTTCCTCGACCACCTCGCCGCGGACCCGCGCCCGCTGCGCGCCCTCGTCGTGCGCGCCCGGGACGACGGGGAGCTGACGGCGGCGTACAACGCGGCCGTGCGGGCGATGAAGGAGCTGCGGGATGTGCATATGGTGATTGTGACGATGTATATTATACAGCCGGCGCGGAGGGCGGAGCGGGAGGCGAGAGAGGCGCGCGAGGCGCGGGGAGAGATGGAGGTCGAGGAGGCGGCGCCGTTGAGGGGTACGGGTGGGACGGAGCTTGCGCAGTTTTTGAAGGGTGTGCGCGATAGGACGGCACGTGGGTTGCTACCTGTGGCGGGCGGGCAGTAGATCTGTCTGAGCTCACGGTGTAGGACTCAGATATGACCTTGGGTTGTTGGGTTGTAAAGAGGAAACGAACAACGTGTTGGTCACGCTTCAGTCACGTGATAGGTTGAACTTTGACATCGACTATCTGTCGACGACGACCACCACTGTCCATGGTTATGCCGATGTCCGTGACATGAATGCAAGGCTTGCACTTGTTCTCCCACTCATCCAACTACGAGTACCAGACCGCATTGTACAGCTACACGCCCATGGCCTGATCGTAGTTGGGCGGGACACTGACAGAGGCGGATACTCGTGAGGCGTTCACCTAGTAAAGCCCATCAGCACCTGCAGCTCCACATAACATTCCGTCTTCCTCTCACCACTACCAGTCTCCTCTCGCCCTGAGGGGGCCGAAGCTTTGACGCGGGCAATATCCCGGGCTCAGGTCCGAGATCGCTGGTGGATGACACGGGTGTATACATGTACGGCTGGATGGGATCGTGGGGACTCCGAACCCGCGCTGCGGCTGGTGCACAGATGCCGTTCTCGCTCTCCTCCTTGCCTCTTCTCTTTCGGCGAACAATGAAGAAGAGAGCAAGCGCTACGATGGCGGAGGCAATGACAGCACCGACAGCAATGCCTGCCACTGCGCCCGCGGGAAGGCGACCGCTGGACCTAGAGAAAAAGAGAATCAGAATATAAGCCAGAAAAATACGGACTGAGCCTAAGTAGTGCTTACGGTGCCCCCTCGCTCTGCACTGCGTCCTTGTGCACATCCGCCTCAAGCAACATAGCGTAGTCAATGAGAAGACCAGCCCCGTTGCTATCCGGTGCGTTGGCGATCGCCAGACTGTGCGTGCCGCCGCCGAGTTTGCTGGCGTGGTAGAGCAGGACTTGCGTCTCCGTGTATTTTTTGTTCGCGTCGTACGTTTGGATGTCGCCGCCGTCAAGTTGCACGCTGTAGGTCCCGTAGGACAAGCCGGTGGCGCCGTACAGGCTGACAGCGTCTCCCTGCAGAGACGTGAGCGCGAGGCGGGGCTGGAAATAGCGCATATGCGAACCAAAAAGTTGAGCGTGGCACTGCTTGAGCTACTGATTGCTAGACTGCCGATCAACGAGTTCAACGGAGAGCTACGGATTGGCAAGTATCACCACGTACTGGGCTGTACCTCCTTCATACCGGCCTCCAGCATCGGTACTGCTCCATGGACCACTGTACGAGAACCTGGCATCGTTGTCCCGAACGATACTCAGCGGCGGCGCTGTCTCGCCCCCGATATCAGCGGTCCACGTAATCTATAAGGGAGCGTATGATTAACAGGTCAAACCTATAGAATGACTAGCAGGCAGACTATGTATGCGCGGACGACGTACAAAATCGAGGTCCAAGTACTAGTTCGCCTTGTCGCACCTCAGAGTCAGAGTATGCGACCTGTCCAGGTCTAGTGGACCAGCGGTGTAGAGGATGGTCTGAAATTGATCAGGGTTGGAGTAGCCGTTGAAGCTCTGCTGGTCGCCGTCGAGGTCAACAGTGTACGCTCCTGGATAACATTGAGTGATGGCAGCAAGTGACGACTGCAACGCACCATGATTGCTTCTGGTAGAACGCAACAAAGCGTCACTAAGTAGAAGAACCGCAGCAGAACGACTGGTACTCACCTCTTGGCCCCGTAGACGTAGACATATGTGCCGTTGAACGTGAAAGACGCCGTCGTGTCACTCTCGTTGGTAACAGTAAACGTCCCTGCATCCGAGTAGCTGTGTAACCCTCAGATACGGGAACTCCTGTCGCCGCACTGTCACTCACCCGGTCCACTTCGGGCCTGATTTGGCCCCTGAGCGCCATTTTCCCCTCGGAAGGTAGGAGATTAGGGGGCTCGTGTTATCGACTGTGAAGTTCTGCGGCGCCATGGCGGTGAGTGTACAAGTTCAAGAGACGCGCAATGCAAGTATAGCGGCCGAGAGCTCGTCATCAGCCACTGTCGACGGGGAGTTTGGTAGGTGCGGACAGAGGCCGTGCAGACTAGCTACATGATTTGCCGCATTGCGGGCCGCCCAGTGTGAAACCAGAGGTAGCCCGTCAACAGCTGTCGGACGTTCGTTGATCATCAAGCTCGGGAGACCGGCTGGAACGTACTTGCGCATTCTAGTGATGTCAACTGCATTGAAGGACAGATGACCATGCTGACCTGCAGTGTTAACAGTCGAGCGACCATGCTCTGACAGTCGACATGTCATTCGAAGCTGTGAGTTGTGATGAACGGCAGCGAAAGACCATTCATTCAGTTTCTGGAAACCACACGCTGGAAAGGTGGACGGCAGTTTGACGCTTCTGAGCGGTGATTTCGTCAATGCATCACGCGTCACTACGCTGGGAAGCAACGCTGCAACATAGACAAACAGCCTGAGATATACATGAATCAGCTCCGAGTTGTGAATTTCATGGACACCAGTCTTCTACCTTTGAGGATGGTGGGCGGCCATTCGCACTCCAGCAGGGGGCATGAAGCTTACATTCACCTAGCATTAACCGGAGTACGAAAGAAAACATATCCAAAACTAATTGAGAGACTATGGTACCAACTAAGCTCTTCGTATAGGCCCAATAAGAATGTAAGGAGTACGCAGAGAAAGAGAAAACAATAAAGAAATACAGCTGACGAGAGCGAAGGTAGACTTGCACTCGCCTCAGTTCCGCCTCAGTCCGAGTCTAGTTCCGTCAAGTCGAGCACCTCGCCGGGCACGATAGGAAGCACGTCTTCGAGCTTAATTTTTTTGTTTCCCCTCTTGCGGTGCATCGCGAGTCTAGCGCGGCGCAGCTCATTCTGAATGCACACAAAGGCGGTCAGACCCATGTGAGGTATTCGACGAAATGACGCACCTCCGCCTGGCGGACACGATCTTCCACGTCCTCAACCTCGTCCATGTCGATGATCTCCGGCTTGACATCCTCACGGTCTGGAGTGAGCGCTTCGGAGGCTTTGCGTTTCCTTCCCCGTGCAGGACGGCCGGCGTGAGAGGTTGAAGATGCGGAGCGAGAGTGGTGGGGTACAGCGGTCTCGGCTGGAGGAGCTATTCCGTTGGCACGAAGCATGTCTAGAGTCCATGAGCATTCGACGCTCCAGATAACGAAGAAGTCAACATGCCTATGCCACGGTAACGAAAGGTAAACGTAGCGAAAGGGGCTACGCCGACCTTCGTAATCTCCACGAAAGTGAGAGGTGTTGCCATCCGCTTTTCTTCCCCGAATCTGACAAGATACTAAGCGCGAGTAATACTGCAGGAATTATGTCGCACGTACTGGACTGCATGCGCAACGCCTTTCTTCGACCTCTCATGCATCTTCATAGGCTCTCCTATGGCCGGTATTCCGGCTAGCGTAGCTCCGCCTACATGGCACCTCCAAAGTTCAACTTTAATTTCTCCGACATTCTGCTGATTTTTGGTGAGGTACGAATCGTCGTCTAAGGCGGAATGTGAGTATAAACACAGCGCAATGCCGCTCATTACGCACCTGTGAGAGCCAGAGCACCGAATTGAAAATGACGGACGGTTGTAGTACTCATAGCAACACCGTTCATGGTCCACATATCCGCGGTTCTTGATGATCGCAAGACTTTGCCCCCACAATCCTTGCCGTCTGCCTGGACATACCCGGTCGATTCTCGCCTGCGATTGGTATCTTGACAGCAGACGGCAAACTTCTGAAATCAACTGTGAGTCAGTTGAGCATCATGAGAAACCAGGACAAGAAGCAATACCTGTCCAACTTCAGATGGTATCCATGCCGCACATGCCTTTCCGCCTTCAGACACTTCGACACCGTATTCGTCGAGCTTCTTTCCGTCTACTTCGATCCAGCAGTCAATGCTATCAATCTTCATGCCGACTGGGCGCGCAGGTCGAGGGAGCACGAGGGTCGCGCGGTCTGAGATCGTGGTTCAGGACAAGAGGCAAATTCAGGCGCGTCCTCCTGATCGCGTCTCGTCACGATCACGACGACGCGTTGTCACGCTCGTGTCGCGTCGCGTCGCCAACTGTCACTGAATTCGCTCACTCCTTTGCGGCCTGCTGGTCGTGGGTCAGGGTAGGCTTTGTGAGGTAGCACACGCAAGCAAAAGAGAAGCAATGCATCCTAAAGATGCAAAAATGACGAGAGCGGGATTCGAACCCGCGCAGCAACCGCTATTGGGAAACTCATGTAATGAGCAAGCTCTCGCTTGAATCCAACTCCTTAGACCACTCGGACATCTCGCCGTTGAAATGTTGATCCCACCGCCGACTGTCTAAAGGAAATCGCTGTTCACAAGCAGATTCAAGACAATGTCTCTTACAAACTAGAACAACGTCACGGTGCACGATATCATGTTCTAAGTGCCTGCCAAACTCAAGTACTGATACTCGTCCTTGTGTTCGGCCTATGCCATGACAATGACCGTCTGCGCTGTCTTATCCCTAGTGTCTTTCAAGAATCGAGCGATATCCGTCCCTCCTGTTCCTTTCAGGGGCAATTGCTGCGCTAAAGCAGGGATGGGAGCAACACGAGCAGTGGCCTGTGCACGCGCTGCTTCCTCCGCCCTCTCCGCCTCAGCTAGCGCGCGCGCTCGCCGCGCAGGCTGTATAATGTACAGTGTCACGATCACCATATGCTCGTCGCGGAACGACTTGAGCGCCAGTATCGTCGCATTGTATGCGTCAGTCAGCTCCGCGTCGTCCGCGGACGTGACGAACGCGCGTAGGGGGAGAGGCGCGGTAGCGAGGGCGTCCAGGAATCGCCTATGCGGCGCGGGCATGTAGGCGCGCATGCGGGCTAGGAAAGGGCGCTCCCCGGGCGTGCGTGGGGTGTGCTCAACACCGAGAAAGACATCGAGAAGGTGCACGAGCGCGCTTTGACCGGCGCTGGGGCCGGAGAGCTCGGTAGGTTTAGGGAGGCCATGCTCGGCGAGGCTGGCGAATGTCCAGGGACGCACGCCGGTGTCTTGTCCTCGAAGCCAAGGGCGCACGACGTTGTAGTAGCGGGAGGGGTCGCAACCGCGACGCACGCTGGCGAGAAGGGCGCGCAGGTCATGCACGATGGGTGCGAGACGATGCAGCTGAACAGCGACTGCGTGCGCGTCGCCCGCCAGCACGGCGTCCATTGTGGTTTTGACGATACTGAGGGCAGCGACGCCGCGAAGCTCGATGCGTGCGGAGGTGATGAAGAACTCGACCTCGTCCGTGGTTCCGGTGAAAGTCGTCTGGCTCGTGATGTTATCCGGCTGGGGCACGCGTGCGCCGCGCTCAATTATGGGCGCGTAGTTGTAGAGAGCAGTATCCGGGTATGTGAGTAGAGGTGGCATGTCGAGGAGGTGCGAGACCTGCAGCATGGGGATGCCGATCGACTCGGGAATGACGACAGGTTCGTGCGGGGGTAGGGTGTGGACGTAAAAGTGTACCAGAAAACCCAGCGCGACGTGCGCGCGTCGTAACAGAAGAAGAGATGACTTCAGGTCATCAGTGGGCAGAAGGGGGAGCTACAGTAACAATGATGGTCAGTCAATGTGTGGCGGACATTGTCAGGAGACATACTCGTCGAGCGTCGGCGCGCCAGGCCTCCGAGTCTGCCCGTTCCTCCTCAGTGAGGCCGGGCTTATCGCCAATCTGCAGTCTCCGGCGTTGCGCATCGTTCAAAAGCTCCTCCCATGCATCCCAAGGCGCCGGAAGGCGCGCTAGTGGGACATCCGGAGCCATAAAGCCCGTGTTCGCGTCGACTTCGTAGTCGCTGAGTTCAGGGAATCGTCCAGTGGCGACCATGGTCGGGAGGTCGCAGGTGGAGACTTCCTGCCGTCGGCTACCTTTTATATACCGGGTAAGACCCGACAAAAGGGTGCATTACGCGCACGGAACGCCCCTTGCCACCCTTGGACTTTCATGTTCGCCATTCGATGCGATGCGTCAGGGGCGAACAGTCTGCCGATAGCGCCAGTCAGACCGCTAGCGAGATTGTCTCGGGCCTGTCTGCAAGTGTCATAGTGGCGGAAGGATATCAGTCGAACGCAACAACGAGCGTCGACTGGGCGTCACTGGCCGTGGCGATCGGCGGCATGTTTATCACGTGAGCGCTGTTGATTCCTGCGACCCATCGCCATGGTCAGGAGGACAGGTAGAGGACTCAAACATGGCCGAAGGAAGGCTTTGTGGGTCCACAGGATCAAGCTAATCTTCCCCTTTAGGCTTTGCCTTTGAGTCCCTGCATGACGACATTGTTCGCGGCCTTCAGATACTTGCCACCACGGTGTTCGGAATCGCCGCCACTGCCATGCTTGAATCTCCGCAAGAGAAGGGCCGGGGATTGGATCAATGCCTGTGCGCCAGAAGGGATGCCCACGGCAAGCTACACTTCACTTCATCTGCAGCTGTCGGCACTGTGAAGCATCACGGCGAGCTAGATGCGCGCCGAACTCTGTGGAAAACGTATTGGGCGCCCTCGAGGTAATTCGGTGCAGACTTTCAAAGTCGCCGAGATATACCATCATGATAGCTTGCGTAGACCCGATTGTCGATTGCAGGTTCGCGCTACGCGACGACACCGCAGGGAATACGATCTCATTCGAACTTTCGCTAGCCATCAGCATTGCAAAAGCCTGAGCCCCTCTGCGGCTCCTTAACGCCATCCTGCAGCGTATGCATGCGCGGTAGTGATACTCTTCATCTCCTTCAGACTCACCAGCAGCAGCTGCCGCCCTGACCACGATCTGGTCATCGCTCGTCCGCAAGCCATCAAACAAACGTCGCCGGGGTATCGGCGCAGATAATGAGCATCGAGGGCACAGCTAGCGAAGCTATCCCGAAAGTTTGCAGGCATCAGGGAAGGAGGAGGATAAGAAAACCAGCAGCGGTTTGTGCGGCCGGTCATCGACATCAGCGGCGGAAGATGCGTCTACAAGTACAAATACAACACAATAATCACACACATCTTCGTCAGGCGCTCGCATTGAGTTGCATATGTTCTGTAAAGCCCCACAAGCGTTCAGGAAGAAGTATATATATATTCGCTGACATGCAACCATAAAGTGGCCTCAACTTGGGTTACAATTCAATTCAATAATACAGGTGTCGCTCACTGTTGGTCACGGCGGCGCCTTCGAAGTTCGCATTCCATCATGAACTCGACTCAGAGTCGCTAGCCCCCACATGCCCACCATCGAATATCTGCTGTGTCTCGGCAGGTCCAAACGGCAGTCTCTCTCGAACCGGTATAGGCGCAAGGCGGATGGGCGCACGCAATGATGGCGGACTCGGACATCACCCTTGACCCACAAACACAATGCATCCGTAGGTCGAACCTTGTGAAAGAAATATTCCAGGGAAGCGGAGGTTGTAATATTGACAGTCTTGCACTCAATCTTCTTGGGAACAGGTCGCCCGCGTGCCTCATACCGTGGCGTGAACAAAAACATCCCGATCGGCTCTCCGTCCGAGTAGAAGCGGGACGGGAAAACATTGCGCGCTTGCAATACGTCCAGCTCCCCGCAAAGGAGTGCAAGGGTTGTGAGATCTCTCTCGCAGATAGGCATGCCGATCTCGAGCACGCGGACCTGCGCGAGAGGGTACACCAGAAAGGTGCGCGGTATACACGCGCCCGATATGGCGAGCGCTTCTAGATGAGGAAGCGCATTTGGGGTCTTAGCGCGAAGGGGCGGCTGCCGATGCCACGGTCCTGCATTCCCGCGGTACTGGACGTCGATGCTGCGGCAATTTTGTAGGTGGCCGAACGCGACGCCCTCCTCGATGAACCATGCCGCCGCGTCGCCCACCCCCTGGATCGGCTTCTCGACAATGATGTGAACCCCGGTGACTTGGTCGCCCAGATTGCGGCACGCTCTGTGGAACTTGGACCGCGCGTCCTCCAGGCAGAGATCGCTGTGCCCAAAAATATCCGTATAGTCGCTGAGATCCTCGATGCCAATGTGGACAAGAATAGTGTACTCGGGGATGGAGGCGCTCAGAGAGTTCGTGCGCGTCTTCAGGACGGCAGCAAGCCGCGCGATCTCGGTATCCGGCACGTCCCAGCGGATGGCACCGGTAAGATGAGCCGCGGGAGGGCGATCGTACTCGGTCGGAGGCGTAAGCTCACTCTCTATAATGCTTATGTTCGAGGCGTGATCAGTTGGGAACGACCGGCCAATACAGGATCCTACGATGCAGTGTAGGTTAGCGTACTCGTTGAATTGACGAGTCAGGTCGTACCAAGGAGCGCTCCGTTCGTGTCGTCTGCGCGAAGCTCAGCGGCTATGTCTCTTCTGACACCAGATGTTGCGTGATCGTTTGTGCTCGGACATGTTGTCATTTGATCCTGGCCTGCAGGTCCAGGAATCCAGTCCGCGGCGCTCGTCTTCGCTGCGCTACCATCGACGACGGTGACACCCGAGAGGGGCCTCCACTCGCGTTCGTCCCCGTTTTCCGAACCAGCGTCAAGGCCTTGACCTAAGAATGGCGTAGCGTGGAAAGTGAGATTATTTCCGTAATGAGGAGAGCTCGTCGTATGCTGGGTAGTCGCGACATTTATTGTGAGCGGTGCGTGCGGTATGGTGTTCTCGTTGTGGAGACTGCGATCGATTGTGAATGCTCTCTTCACCCTCGCCTTGAAGCGATCGGCGACGCTATTCTTGCGGCGCCGTACGTCGCTTTGATGAGGGTCGAGCAGCATGGGACGCGTTACTTCGGCACCGTTGGCAGAAAGCGAGGTTTGTAGAGTATGGTATGCTGGGATATGAGATGAGTACACGGCAAGGATGAGGTTTTGTGGCACGCACCTGGCGGCTTCCGGGTCCTGGTAAGCATCGTCCTGCTTGTGAAAGATGAGTCGTAGAAAAAAGAGTAGCAGGCCGTATGAAGTCCAAGTTCCTGCGTGAATGGATCGTAGATGAGTCGTGACCAGAGCAAGTAAGTCGTGCGGATCGTCAGTCGGTAATGAGGAAAACTCGTATGGAGGTCGCGGAGGAGGAGCGACACCTTTAAAGGACGCCATGACCATTGTTCCTGATCCGTCGAAAGACAATAGCATCATGGCGTTGCCGCCGTCGATGCGTCACTGTCATTGGCAAGAAGAACAAGGATGCCCAAACCGGTAATTGATCGGAGCACGCGGGCCGACTATCCGAGCCTAGCTCTGGTCGAAATTGATTGAACGGGCCTTCGACCTCGCATGCACCTCTTGAACTCACCTGGACTGTTTATTTGCAGTCGAGTAATTGTCTGGGCAGATAGGCGAGTAG